TTTAACAACTCTCTGTCCTCTCTCTAAGTTTTAATCCTCTTGAGGGCAGGGCCATGTCATATTCCTTTTTGTAAGTTCGGAGCCTCTCACAGTGCCTGGTACACAGTGGTTTATGATGCTGTGCCTGGTACACAGTGGTTTATGATGCTGCTGGTAGCAGTGGGAACTACACGAATACTTTCTATGCCAACCCTGGGGTATTGGGGCTTCTGTTTGAGTCAGAAGGTGCTTGCCCATTCATTCATTCCTTCATTCACTTATTTAATTATTCATTCTTTCATTAAGTATGGATGCCCAGTGAGACACTGAGCACCGGGACACAGCAGTGGATAAGATACAGTCCCTGCCCTTGAGTTGCTTTTTGTCTGTGGAGGAAAATGTCAAGAGACACCAAATAAATGTCCTATTGTTGACTTCTGAAGAGCTATTCAGCTTTAAGGAGCACAGGATAGATGGACATATTTGCAGCTTGTGGATACCATTCAGATCTCTCATTGTGCTTTAATTGCTACTTCAGGCTTAGATTTGGGGATAAAATGAGTTGCCATTTTCTTTGTGCCAGGCGCCTTGCTGAGTGCTTAACATGATTTATCTCATTGAATCTTCACAACAGTCCTGAGAGGTGGCCATGCTATTATTACCTTTACTTTCCAGAGGGGAAACTGAGTCTCAAAGACATTTCACGATGTCCATTATAACAAGGGCATCTTATTATATAGTCCACTTAACCCAATGCCCATGATTTCGAACCCTATCAAAACTGCCTTGGGGAAGAGAACCATCTAGCAGCTGTCAGTAGAACAAGTAAACATGCAGAAGGGTAAAAGTTTAATGAGTTAATGAGTGTCACTCCTGGGCAGTGAGAGGAGTGGGAGAGGACAATGCCAAGAATCTATAGACTTTGGGCAAGATCTGGAATGGGAAAGAGATGGTCTAACTCAATTTCCTATGTGAAGACTGCCAGGCACCCAGACCCTGGATCCCCATCCCTGCACCTGCCAATCGTGCTCTCCTCCCTCTGTTCCTCCACGGGGGTGAACTAGAGACACAAACCAACCCACATGAGCAAGCACACCAAGGGGAAGGTCCTGTGGCCGGTTTTAGGGCTCAGGTATGAAAGGGTGGACTGGAGAGACCAGCTCAACTCAGCAGAGAGTCTCAGGAAGAAATGAGCCCCTAAAGACCAAATGGAACCAGGTTTTAAAAGGAAAGGAAATCCCAGATCAGTAGGTGGAGGAGAGGAAAGAGACTTGGGCTGATGGGAGCTTGCAGCCTGGACCTGGTGGTTAACAGAAGGAACCTTTGGAGGGTGTCTCTCCAGCCTCCCTCTTCTCCAGCCTCTCTGTGTCACTGCACACATTTAGTCAGCTGTTCAGAGCCAGGAATAACTGACAGGAGAGTGGAGAGTTCTGGGTGCGAAGGCTATTCAAAAATGTAATTCCAAGCACAGTCTCATGCATCATATTAGCATGGCCCAGGAGAACACAGTGATTGGAAGCTTTCGCCAGCAAGCACTAGCTTTTATCACACATATCCCACAGACACTGAGCACCTACTATGTTCTAGGCTCTGAGAGGAAGGCTTCAATCTTCAGAAGTGAGGACTAAACCTGACCTTTTTTTCTCTTATCTAAATTTCTAACTAAGTCTCGGGGAATCACACCTGAAAAAGACTCACTAGACAGGGTTTTATTATCCTATTACCCTATATTCTAAAAAGTCTGTTTCCAACCTGACGCTGCCATAACACCACATAACAAAAAAAGAAGGAAATCAAATTATTTTATGGTCCTGTAAAGTCATCTCTTGGGGGCTCCCATCAGATGGCTTACAAGATTTCCAAGGTTCCGGGAATCTTGTAAGACACTTTATCTATCCTCTCTTAAGTATGCCACATATAGGACTTCATCTACAGATCAACAAACCTGGAGTTTTCTGGCCCCTTAACAAGGCATCTCCTCTACTGATTTCCAAAATTCCTTAGATAGGAACTACAAATTACCAGTCAAGAAATCTTTGAATCCACCTATGACCTGCAAGTCTCTGCTGGGAAATGTCCCTCTTTCTTGGGTCAGACCAATGAAAATCTCACATGCATCCCTCCTCAAGGTGCTTATCTGCCTGCAATGCCCTCTTCCTGGTCTCTGCCTACTAAGGTCCTGGGTATCTTCAAAATCCAGTTCATTCTATCCAACCCACAAATGTGTCCTGACACTCTTCTTTGTACTCTCCAGTTTCTTCTTTCTCTGAACAAATAGAATTAATCTCTTTTAAACACTTCACCCCCAGTGTTTAATTGTAATTTGGCTAGTACCTAGAATTGTTTGCTAATCACTTTTGGTTTCCTTTCCAGAAGTCACTTTAAAAGCCTTGATGGTAGGCCTGTAGTGCTTTCCTACTGTCAGGTTATGAAATGGTGTCTTGGGACTCCTCACCATCACTCAACATAACCCTGTTGACTGAATGCTGGCTGGCTGACCGTTGAAAATAACTCCCCTGCAGACAGCTAATGCAATCAGATTGCCCTAACATTCTGTGAGTGGAACAGCATGGCACTAGAGTGCAGATCAATAATAGCTGTGATCTACTGGGCCCAATGATGAGCCAAGCTCCAAGCTCCATGCTATTTCATCCCTTCTTCACAATAGCCCTACAGTGTGCTGGTTCCTGCGCTCATTTTACAGATAAAGAGATGAGGACTCAGCAGCGTTAACCAATGTGCCTCAACTCTCAGCTTCATAACTGGTGGAGCTGGGATGGAAATGAGGTCTGCCCATGCTCAGGGTTCACCAGTGTCCCCTGCCTTCCCTGTAGCCAGTTCTGGCCTTTGGGGAGTGAAGATCCAAGAAGTATGTGTCCTCATTGGGTTCCTTTGAGGGCAGAATTTCCTTTAAATTATACATATTAAAAAAACTTGCTCCACAGAGCCGTATTCTTGAGACTTCTCCTTGCAAGACAGAGAGTCACATATAGACACTTAGAAACACATAGTTATTCATTCACTGTTTCATCATGGACAATCACTCATGCTGAACAGAAAAGGCAAGCACATGATATCCTTCAATTTTTTCCTTGGTGGTCTTCCTAGGGGAGAGCGTGCACAGGTAAACCTGTTGCATATTTTAACAAGGTTGTAGTCAATTACTAGGGTGACCACATGACTTATTATCCAAACCAGGCCATTTTGGGAATGAAAGTTATTTATCAACAGGAATTAACTGACCTACAACAGATGCAATCAGGGCTATCCTGGGCAAACCAGAATATGTGTCCCCCCCCATCCCAGAAAATCCTGGGTGCTCAGGGACCCTCAACACACCTCGGTTGCACGTTCAGTTAGTAACTGCTTTCTACTCAGCCCAACTTAACATTCACTCATTTATTCAATAAGATATCCATGTGCTGGGCCCTGTGGGAAGCCCCTGAAGAAGACAAACCCTGCCCTCCTGAAACTGCCATTCTAGTACAAAGTAAACAAATAAATATAACACCAGGTAGATGAGGTCTGAAGAGGGAAGTAAGGCAGGGTTGTGGTGATAGGGAGGTATGTGGGATGGGAGTGAAGACCTCTCTGAGGGGAGCCTCCTCAGGAAGGTGGGAGGGAGAAACTAAACCTGACCTTTTTTTCTCTTATCTAAATTTCTAACTAAGTCTCGGGGAATCACACCTGAAAAAGACTCACTAGACAGGGTTTTATTATCCTATTACCCTATATTCTAAAAAGTCTGTTTCCAACCTGACGCTGCCATAACACCACATAACAAAAAAAGAAGGAAATCAAATTATTTTATGGTCCTGTAAAGCCATCTCTTGGGGGCTCCCATCAGATGGCTTACAAGATTTCCAAGGTTCTGGGAATCTTGTAAGACACTTTATCTATCCTCTCTTAAGTATGCCACATATAGGACTTCATCTACAGATCAACAAACCTGGAGTTTTCTGCCCCCTTAACAAAGCATCTCCTCTACTGATTTCCAAAATTCCTTAGATAGGAACTACAGATTACCAGTCAAGAAATCTTTGAATCCATCTATGACCTGCAAGCCTCTGCTGGGAAATGTCCCTCTTTCTTGGGCCAGACCAATGAAAGGTACACAGGCCCTGGGGTTCAGGAGCCCACGGGAGTCTTGGGGAACAGGAAGACAAGGAGAAAGGTGGGGAAGAACACGGAGGGTCCTGAATTTTATTCCCAGTCGGATGGGAATGCATTGGAAGGTCTGTGCAGGGAAATGCTCAATTGCATTTGCATTTTTAAAAAGGCTCACTCTGGCCAATAGTGGAGAATGCAAGAATGGGAAAAGGAGACGAGGCTATTATGACGGCACAGGTGTGAGATGACGGGGCCATGAGCTATGGGAGAAGTGGTGGTGCTGGGGTCAGAGGTGGTCTGATTTAGGAGACATCGTGGAGCAGAGCCTCTAGGACCTGTGAACCACTGGGTGCAATCAGGGCTATCCTGGGCAAACCAGAATATGTGTCCTCCCTACCCCCAGAAAATCTTGGGTGCTCAGGGACCCTCAACACACCTCAGTTGCACGTTTCAGTTAGTAGGCTCCCCTCAGAGAGGTCTTCACTCCCACCCTACACACCTCCCCATCACCGCAACCCTGCCTTACTTCCCTTTTCAGACCTCATCTACCTTGCGTTATATTTATTTGTTTACTTTATACTAGAATGTCAGTTTCAGGAGGGCAGGGTTTGTCTTCTTCACAGGGCTTCCCACAGGGCCCAGCACATGGATATCTTATTGAATAAATGAGTGAATGTTAAGTTGGACTGAGTAAAAAGCAGTGGCCACTGGATGCCTACAATACACAAGGCCCTGAGACAGAATTGACCCCCAATGGCCCAGCCCAGCCCTGCGTTCCTTCCCAGGCATGTTCTCAATGTGTCCTAGAAGTCATTACCTGAACCTGAATTTGAACTCCCCAAATGCAAACACGAGAAACAAGTAGCTTTGGTCCCCTAAGGCAGGAGGGAGAAGGCCCTGAACATCCTTACCTTTAGCTCTGTGATCTTCCTCCTTGGGGCATTTCCCCCCTTCCCACCATTTGCGTTTCAGGATCTCCAAACGGTTGTTCTCCTGCAGCTGGAGAATGGCCAGATCAAACTCGTCCCGGAAAACCGAGCCTGCAGGGTCACAGGAGAGCCCAGGGTGTGAATGCCCTCTTATGCATCCTCTGTTCCCCTTCCCTGCGTACCTTCTCACCACTCTGCCTGCTTTAACCTCAGAAGGGGACACAGACGCAGCAGGTGGGGCATGCCTCTGGGGAGAGGAGGGCATCATAGTTTCAGGTGGGATTCTCAGTCTTTTCTACTTCTCTTCTCTCCACACTGACTGGCACATCCAACCCATAGCCAAGACCCCAGGATGGGTCAAGTAACAGCTTTCCAGGCTGTTGTGTCACGCCACCACCACCCCCACCACTGGCACCACTACTTCCTAAATTAAAAAGATTATCTATCCAGGTTAAATGACCTGCCAACCAACACACAGAAAGCTGGTTGCAAGGCTTGCTGTCTTCCTCCAGGAGGCCAAAGTTTGTGTTTCTGTGAAGCAAACCTTTTAGCCAGTTGTCTAATCTCTACTTTATTTAAATTAATTTCTCAGGCACTTGTAGTTCTTAACTCCATTACACCAGACAGTTGTTTATCCCAAGCAGCTTTCAACCAATGAGAGAAACCATCTCTGAGTGGGATGGAAGCCTCCTCTTGTCCACCCATGTGGAGAACCAGTCACCACATGTCCCCAACTTCAGGCCTGCCTGCTGAGTGTACCAGAACCCTCTGGCTCACCCATCACCCCATTTCCCCATTCCTCCCTCCCTCCAACTTCTAACAGAAGGCCTTTTTCTGTTCAGTGCAATTATTTTTACATTTTCTAATGGAATATGGTCAAGGAGCTTTGGTTCTAGAATTTAAGTTTAATCACAACAACAGGCTTAAATGAAACCATGGAAAGCTCAGTGTCCAGCACAGGCTGAGGCCTGAGATCATTAAGTAAAAGCTGCCAAGAGGCTGGAAAACAAGTAAGCTACAAAGTTTCCTTGCTCAAACTCTGTGAAGGTCTGATGTGGACAGATGTCCCAGAGAAGAAAGGCTATAGTGAAGGATCGGGCAGAAGCCTGGAACAAACAAACAAGGACCTCTCATTTTAATGTGCACCAGAATCCCCTGGGGATTTTGTTGAACAGTAGATTCTGATTCAGTAGGTCTGGGTTGGGGATGGTGGTGCTGAGATTCTGCATTTCCAACAAGCCCCAAGGTGATGCCCCAAGGTGGGCCATGGGCCTCATTTCAAGAGGCAAGGAACTAGATAATTTCCCAGGCTTCTTCCAACTGCGACAGCCCACGGCTCCACGGTAAAGCTTCCCTACTATAGAAACAATCACACTCGGACAAGCAAACCCCATGCCTGCAGCACGGAATGTATCTGTGTAACTGATTTGGGTGAGCATCAGCAGAGCCTAACATGGAGTAGGTACTTAATATACATCTGCAGTGAATGGATACATGAACGGGCTGCTTAACAGATATTAGGGAAGTGAGACTAACGAACACTCCAGATTTGGAGACAACTGACCAGCCCAGCAAGGCATTCCAACAGTTTCAAAGTACTTTCAACCCAATCTCACAACACACCAGGGGTCACATGGATGGACTGTTCCGCTTACACCATGGATGCCTCCATAGCATCTAAGTAACCTGATTAATTTTCTATCTTGTTCCATGTTCTGTTTCTCTTAATTTTCCTGGGTCCAATCACATTGCTTATCCTATAGTCACGCCCTTACCTTCCACTTAAAAAACGATACCCCTGCTTGATAGATTCCCCAGCTGCATCTAAATCCTGTCTCATTAATAGACTGTGTAATGTTCCCAGCCTCAAGTGAGAACCTGGGGAAGCCCTTCACAGACCTTCCTGTTCAGCTGGTGGGACTCATTGGCAGCCTGGTCTAGTGAGTAACTTACTGGATTTGGAGACAAGCATCCTAGCCTCAAGTCGAGCTTCTCTACCTTGGAGAGGGTAACCCATCTTCTCTGAATCTCAGTTCTCTCCTCTACAGAATGGGAATAACCACACCTATCTCTCCAGGGGAAAGGGGGAGACATTAAGTGAGATAACACATGATAATAGCATTGTGTCAGGTAACAAAACAAACACACTTCCCTCCATATTCTTTTGGTTATTGATGAAAATTTCTAGAGTTATGATGTGTTACCTCAACTCTCTAGAGTTTTGAAAACTTTTGAAGTATTTGCCATTTAGGTTAAATTTCTTAAGTTGCCTAATTATTATCAAGGTGTACCTTAAGTTCATTTTGTGGTTCACGCCACTATCGTGAAGCAAAATGTCAGTCAATAAATTTCTCAAAGAGGCCCTCAATCTGCAATACTAGTGGACATCAATGAAATATGAGAGTAAATAGAGGGAGCACAGGTTTACAAGTGCCCTGAGGGAGGCCTCCAGTTTGTAGAACTGTTAGTGTCAGAGTTTACAGTGTTCAGGAATGAACCATATTATTGCCTATGTTCATCTGCTTGGTTTCTGATCAATATTTAAGAAGTCATCAGCTTTTATCAAATAACATAGAAAACTATGTAAAAGATAAGAAGAACATTCACACACACCCCCACCCCAAGACAGGCTAAGTGTGAGACACTGAGGTAAACACCTCACCAGATTATCAGGTTAAATCTCACAATAACCCTGTGGTGTGGGTATTAGAAGCCTAAACTTATAAATGAGATAACTGATGCTCAAAGAGGCTAAATAACCCATCCAGGGTACCCAGCCAGTAATCAGGATGCATTTCTGGGTCTGTCTGACTCCAAGTGCATGTTCTTTACACTCTGCAGGTGTAAGTGAATTCTGTAATTTATAGAGATTTGAGTTAAGGTAAAAATCAATAGAAGGGATGTGTAATAGAGCTACAAAGATGTGCATACTATATATCAACTTTCTCACACGATCTGATGGCCTCAATTTCTGCTTCTCCAAGCCCTGTTGTCTTGTGCAAGAACAACCATACACAGCAGTGGTTTTCAACTGTGTGTGCATGCGGACAGGGTTGGGGAATGCATGTCAGAATCACCTGGGGAGTATTTTCAGAGCCCCTCCACAATCACAACAGCAGCTAAACATGTTCTCCCTTTGTCTTCTGGTGGAGGAGTCTACCAGCAGGGGACAGCCCAAAGTGTGAAAATTCTTTAAAAAGCACAGTCAGCATACCTTTCTGGAAGCCAGACCTCTCTACCCTCCCAGAACAAAACTGGATGACACCTAGTCAGCAGGCCGAACACTAGGGCTTTACTGCCCTTTCCCAATTGCCCACACCGACGTGGTGTAGATAGATCAGTGAAATCCACAAATAATTTGAGAGCTGTCTCATCTAGTTATGTCCCCTTTTGCAGTGATCTTTTCACTGGGGACACTAACTGACAGCAAAATTAATCCATTTGAAGTTTAACATCTCATCCTTCTTCCCACCACTAGTAGAGATGCTTATCAACAGAGAAATGGCCAATGGGCAGGAACCAAGGGAAAGGAGGAACAAAAGGCCTAACATATCCACGAAGGGCATCAGTATTCCCTTTAATAAGTAGGATTAGCCTTTTTAAAATCAATCAATTAATAACGCATCAACTAGCTCTTTGATAATTAAGGATCAAGCAGTGATCTCTGGTTCCTGGAAGTATGTGGGTTTGCTTTGTTTTTAAACCTTTAAAATGCCCATCTAAAGTCACTGGTAAGCTGAGGACAATAGGGGTTACTGAATTCAGTGCTACCCTGACCCTGTCTGGATGAAGCTACCCAAAGAGGTCGTTCCTCTCCTGCATACCGACTGGCATGCCAATCCCATAGCCCTTGGTGTCCAGCAGGCCCCCAATCTGAGTGAGGTTGCAGTTTCGCTGCCGATAGTACTCATTCATGGTGGACTCCAGGAGGAAGGCGTAGTTGGAGTTCAACACCCTTGCGATTCCCTCCTCTGTGCTCTTCACAAACACACTTGGCTGCTTGGAATACATGTAATTCCACATGCGCTGGTAGGTCTGGTAGCGGGAATTCTGGGGAAAGAACAAAAGGAAGCAGAACTGGGAAAAGAGGAAGGAAACACTGGGTTTAAAAGTGAGGGGATCAATGTGGGCCTTTAAACGCTGGCTCTACTACTATTCTATCTCCATGGCAGTCAAGAATGTGTTCCCTTTCTCTTTCTCAACCCAAGATGTTCCCTGCCATTGCTGAATGGCAAAGGAAGAAGTTGTGCCTTTGACATCTTTTACAGAAAAATGAGAACACAACAGGGCCCTAAGGCATTGTAAATTCTGCCACTGGCTTGATCATCAGCTTTGCCTCATCTGCCCTAGAGAGGTCTTCCATTGTCAACCTCTATTTTCTGGTAGAATAACTGAAATTCTGGTTGTGTCTTTTCATTGTCCCCCAGGTTGGGGCAGTGAACTCAAGTTCACTCAAGACTTACAGAGAAACCATCCGAAGAATCAGTGCCAGCTATTTTCTATCCATCTTAAACCAACTGATTAATTACATAGCCAATACCATCTTCCGCTTTACAAATAATAAGAGAGAGACTTCTGGGGGTCTATCCAGGCCCCTTGTTCACTGTTCTCTGAGCCAAGAAGCACTGAGACTTGTATGGAAAACAGAAAACTACAGGCATTGGACTTGGTTCATGGGAAGATGAACTTCTTGGACATTAGGTTGGTTAGACCCATATAAACTCCAGGGGAAACGTGCTTCCCTAGAGATCTCGAAGCACGTGAAAACTACTATTGCATCTGGCCTGGCTTTGCCAGCCTTGGTGATCAATCAGTTTTTCTGTCAGTGAACACACCATTGTGGCAGGGCCTTCTTAGCCTTGCAAGAGAAACCCGAAGAAGCCAATAGAGTCCCTGTCTGTTTCCTATGTAGTCTAGATCCAATGAAGTCAGTTCATCTTAATCTAGTGTTCCTCAAACTTCAGCCATTAGTGTATTATTTTAATCTTGCTCTAAATACTACCTGCAAAATTTAACTCACTTTGAAAAATTTAAATGCATATGCAGGTTTGATTCAGGGTATATACCCTTTTTTCTAATGCCCATTAAAATAAACAAGACACTATCACAATTAAAATATAGTTCCACAACATTGTACCTGACGTCATTTCAAGTGTCACCCATCATTTATGTACAAATTGGGACAGGCTAATAGTAACCTGAAATCCTTTTAAGGTCTCATTCCAGGGGTATTTTGTGGAGTAGGAGAAAAATGAACCCCACGTGGACCTCCAAACTAAATGTTCAAAGGAGATAATGAGATGAGAAGAGATGTTTTTATCTCCAGCAGACAAAGATCTCAACTTTATTCTGCCCAACTCCCGATGCTGGTGAGCAACCAAATGGGGTTTACTTGGAAGAAGGTCATGCTGGAGCCTCCGTGAATTGTGCCATACTCAATGGCGGTCTGGTCAGCCAGGTCATCCACTGACTCAATGGGCACATCCATGCGCTGCACGGTCAGGAAGGCTGCCAGGTTGGCCGTGTAGGATGAGATGATGATCAGCGTGAATGCCCACCTATGTAGGAAAAGACCAGGACGTCATCATTGCCCGGGCACTCCCAGGAGTTTGGGCCCTCATCCCCTGTCCTGCTGTGACACGGGAGAGGCCAGGTGTCTCTCTCCTAAAGGAGCTCTCAGCTTAGTGGGGGAAGAGAAAGGAGGCAGGGCAAATGATGTCAACAGAAATGAATTGAGTTTGTGAGCGTTGCCTGGAAGAAGACAGGTGATTTTTTTCTTTTGCCTAAAGGAGGTGATAATTGGGTTGTTATTCAAAAGAGGAGTAGTCCATGCACATGAGATAGCTTTGGAGACTATGAGAAATGGGCTAGTGAATGAGGTACGGGCACCAGTTCTGAGGGATCCGTTCAGAGCTAGAACTGGGACAGCCTCCCTACCTCTTCATGCTAAAGTCAGTCTTCATATGTGCATTTTTGTGTACTGAGCACCTACTAGGAGCTATGTCCACTATCTCACGTAATCCCTACAGTTCAGAGAAGAAAAATTCTTACCTCAATTTTAAAGGTGAGGAAATTAAGATTCAGAGATGTGAAGTACCCTGCCAACTAACACACTGATCAAAACCTGTGCTATCAATTGTAGCAGCAGCAAATTGATAACAGGCGAAAAGCATCTTGGAACTGCTGAAAAATTGGATTTAGAAAACTACTTTTACGATGGCCATGCTATTTCAAACTAGAAGATTGTTTTATTGAGTAGATAGAACTCATTTTAAATTAGAATAATTTTGCAACTCAGGCAGCATATATGTGAAAGCCATCACAAACAGTTTGTTCACTTGAGTAGGTTAAACAAGCCTTCTCCCATCTGGTCAGCAGTATGAATCTGCATTCCAATCCCAAGAGGTTCAAAGACAGTGCTAAGCACAGTTTAGGTTGGAGAATCACAAATTCTGAATCAGTGGAGTCTGAATCCACGAGGCTTCACCCCTTATGAAAACACTGCCAACTAGTGTTTGCCATGGGACTCAGCAGCTGGCAGCTGCCAGGAGGATTTTCAAGAGAAGGTGATCCCGTTGCCCCTTCTGTCATCCTGATCAAGAACTCCTGCTGGCTGCCTCTCCAGGAGTGAAACAGCAGGGGCACCCAATGACTCGATGGCACAGCCACAGGCCAGACCACCACTGAGATGAACTGGATTTTAGTTCAGGCTTTGTCAACTTCCACCTGTGAGACCATGGGAAAAGCCACATGTCTTCTCCGAACGCATTTATGTGTCTAATAGATATATGGGGACAATAATGCCTGCCTTTGGAGAGTTGTGAGATCAAATGAGGTAATATGTCACCAGTGATCAGTAATCTGCAAAGGACTAGATGGGTGTGAAATATAGAGAAACGTGTAGAGAGACCCTCAGACTGAATACGGGATGAAAATCACCTGGCCACCTCCTTCCTGCCTTCCCTATCTGTGACCTGTAGGTGTCAGGCGTCCCTCCATGCTCAAAACCTGCTTTTCTTGCTCCTGCCTCAGCTCTCCCACTCTGTTGGAAGGTGCTTCTCATGACCATCCCTGGGAAGAGGCGTGGGGTGGGCAGATCCCAGGAAGAAGCTGGTGCTCTGTACCGTTCAGTTGCACTGGTTAAGTGTCGTTGGCTAATGAGTCCTGATGTAGACATGACTTCAGAATTGGCTGAGAAGTTGACTTCAGAATTGCCATGGTTATACTCTGGCATTTGTTCCAGCCTGGGTGGCTGCTTAGGTCACTGGTCACAAAGGAATGGGTCAGAGAGTGTACCTGGCTCAGTGCAAGCCCGTCGACTCTGCTGAGACAGTGAATGAAGCCACGATGTCTCCAGAGGGGCCAGTGAAGGCTTGCTCCTGTGTCTCTTGTAAAGCTAGCATTCTTGTGAGCGATGTGGAATGTTCTATCACTCACTCTGGGTGAGGAGGCAGAGGCAGGCCGCAATGGCCCAGTCTACCGATCTCCTACTCCCCCAGAGAACTAACCAAATCGAAGCCCTTTTAAAATAACTGACTCCATGAGGCAGAGGGGCACACTCACAACCTGGGGTCAGACACTGGTGAAACCTTGTCATGTGACTCACCAGTGCTGAGCCCCTTCACATACCTACTCTGGAATACAGTAACCAAGTCACTTGGGGTTAGCTGTATAAGGCAGTGCTGAGTCCTTGGACTAAGGGCAGGGCACCCTGCAGGACAGCTGGGTCCTTGCAGTGGGGGTGGGGGGGAGGGCTGACGGGTAGACAAAGCAGACAACGGGGTCCTACCTGCACCCATGGGAAGGAGCATCCTCTGGAAGGAGAAGCCTCAGGGAGAAACAGGTCAACATCCCCAGTTCACGTCTGCTCATCTCCCAGAGCTCCTGCCCAGATTTCCCGAATTTTGAGGGAGCTCCGTGACTGTCCCTGCCGAGAACATCCCTTCTCCCTGGGGGCCTGAGTCCCCTGTTCTCCATTTTGATCTACCCATTGACTTCTCGGTACTATCTGGTGACAATCAAGGTAAGCATCATGCCCAAGTGGTTTAAATCCTACTATACTGTTTATCAGGGAAAATGGAAACCCCAGACAGGAAGGGGTCCAGTGTCCCAGCTGAGTCTTCACCTTCCTGACAGCTCCAGCTCCAGTGGCTCCTTCAGTAACCGTGTCTAGGCCACCCCTCTGTCCCAGGCACCAGGACCCAAGGGTGGAAACGCCCTTTTCCTTTTCCTTTGGCTAAATAGGCTAAGAAGAAGGGGAGGGAACCAAAGCCCTAAGTCCTGTGTGCTGTGGCAGCTAAACCTGCAGCGGATATCTGAAAGAGGACCAAAAACTTGGGCTCGGCAAACTTACCTCCCTAGGTCATATATATATATATTTTTTCATTTGCCCCCATAATAGTCTAACAATTATTAGTCCACACATTTACATGGCACTTTCAAGTTTTCAAAGAGCTTTCCCACACTTGAATCATTTACCCAACTTTGAGCAACTAAGAGTTTGCATTTTCCCACACCAGCTGAGGTGGACAGGCCAGCAAGCCCCAGAGCCAGGTGCAGAGGGACAAAGCCTGAGGAAGCTGGTAGAGGGGGCCTGATGTGGTGTGGCTTCCCCTGTAGGGACTTCCGGCCAGCAGGCTCACGTCTGCATAAATCTGCACATGCTGTCTCAAATTGCAGGTCATTTTCAGGCCAGGAAGTTATCATTGCTTTGCTGAAGGTCTGTTTTCTCACACTTTCTCCCTTCCTGCCCTGGCTCCCCCTCTGTATCCGGATCCCAGGGACGGAGGAAGGGGAGAAGACAGCACAAAGTGGGCCCCGCTCACTGGCCCCCACCTTCTGAACTGGCAGAATGTACCTCAGTGGCCCGCGAGGGTCTATCATGAAAGGCAGAGGCTTCGTGTCCTCCCACAGGGCTGAGGGGCTGCTGCTTACTGGAGGAGCTGGAGCAGGGCTTCTCTGAGGATCCCTTTGTGTCCCCTCCCACTTGCCCTGGTTCCACAGCCACTCCAGGCCCAGTCCCACTTCTGCCTGTGGCCTTACCAGACGCCACTGACACAGCGGGTGGATAAGGCGCGGGGGGCGATGGTGGAGCCCTGCTGCATGAAGCCTCCGACTGGAAACCAGAGGCTATTGCCCAGGGAGTACTGGTTCACCAGGAGGTTGCACCGGCCCTGGGCACACGGGTGTGGGCTGTACCACTCGTAGGGCGTCAACCTGTGGGAGAAAAGGAACATACACCAGTGCCACCAAGGAGGGGGTGCTGGGAAATGGGCTGGGGCTCCCCTTTCTGGCCTTACCTGGGTCTCAGGACTGGCCTGTGGCCTTGGGCAAGCCCCTTTCCTTTGCGGGACTTGGAGTTTCACAACCAAAAATGAAGTGAGTTGGACGAGGTTGGTGGTCCTCAAACTGTTACTCTTTATTCAAAGAGACATTTTTTCCCCCTGGCAAATACATTCTGATGTGGAACTCCAGTATACAAAATAGAGTCCCTTGACTAGAAACTGGGGGTGTTAAGGGGTAGACAGCCTGGAAAGCTGCTGGCTCCCCCAGTGCCCCAGGATGATCAGAGAGACCCTACAGTCCCACAGAACCATGGTTCAGAACCCCTCAGCCTAGAGTAGTGGTTGGCCTTTAGCCCACCTCAGAATCATCAAGAATGCTTGTTAAAAACAGGTTGCTTGGGGAGACACCTCTTATCAACAAGGGTGCCTGAACGAAGCATATTTGCATACCTAACCCTTAACTGTACCCCACAATATCATAGTAAAAAGTATTGATTAAAAAAACCCCAAAAAACAGGTTGCTGGACTCTACCCCCAAATCTACTGGATCAGCAAGTCTGGAGAGAAACCTCAGAATTTGCAAGTTCCCAGGTGATGTTGGTGCCACAGGCCCAGTGTCCACACTGAGATTTGCTGGTCTGGACAGTCTCCAAGGCCGAGTTCTCATCTGATCTGCGTTTCAGACACTCTCTGAAGTTTTTTAGACAGTGCCAAAGCTCGGATTCTACTCCCACAGATTCTGATTTAATTCGCCCAGGTGGGCCTGGGCATCAGTTTGTTTAAAGCATCCCAGGTGACTGTGATGGACACAAGGGCCCAAGAAGGGCTGCTGTGAGCTCTGTGCCTCTAGGTGAGGTGGGGAGCACGCCCCCTACTATCCCTCTTAGTCTTACTGCTCCCTCTACTGAGCAGCCCCTCCAATATCCACAATGCCCTTTCCTCCCCTTCCCATCAGACACAGGCTAGCTGCCTCCCATGTGAAAGCTTCCAAGTTCTGACAAAAGGAAAGTTTGGGTACAGGTGTGCGCCGCCCAAGCAGGGTGAGGTGCTATGTGCTCCAGGTGCTATCACTGGGCTTTCCTGTCCCTTCACTCAACCTAACATGCCCTCAGTGTTCCTATAGTCGCTGGCTCCCAATTCCAGCCTTGGCTCCCGTTTCTGAATACAGCATGAATGTGTCGACATGGGCCTCATGTCCTGTGAGTGCTCCCTCCCTCTGTGTGACCCGAGGAGCTGGCGCTCGTGGTACCTTACCCTGGTGGCTCCCAAGCCTATGGACCATTAGAGGGACCTGGTGAGTTTCAAAAACACAGATCCCTAGGCTCCATCCCTAGAGATTTTGGGATGACGGGACCTGGGCTTTCAAATTTTTAAAGTTCCCTATATGGCTCTGACGATAAGCTGACTTGGCAATGGCTGCCTAAGATCTGTAGTTTTCAAACATTTTCCCCTCTAAAAATCTTACCTACGAGTACAATATACATAGGAGATAAAGGTGGAACTGGTCTGGACGAATAGGCATTGGGCCTCAGAGCTCTGGCTGCCCAGCCTCTCCTTATTCCACCCCCAAAGTCTCTGAGAGCTCCCAGCAACCTTTGTGCTCCACGGACCCCATTTGAAAACCACTACCTTAGAGGAGAATACCTAGGCTCAGATATTGTGTGTGTGTGTGTGTGTGTGTGTGTGTGTGTATGTGTCCGTGTGTATGCTGTATGGTTAGCCGTTTTTTGTTAATCTTTTTGTTATTGCTGGATCCCAGCAGCCAGTGTGTATAGGCAAGAATGACAGAAAAAAGGAGCCACAGAACCCCTCAGGGCTGGCTGGAAACTCCAGGCTGCCATGGGTGTGGTGAGGCAGGCTTGTGTGTGTGAATCTGGTCACCAAGCCCCAAGACCCTCTTCAGGGCCTTGGAGGTTACTGAGCGCTGTGGCCTGCCACACAAAGGGACTCGAGTCAAAGGGGCAGGTGTGAATTACAGAGCAGTGGAGCCAAAGCTCTTACAGACAGTTCCTGAAAGCAGCAGCTGTGGCCAAGTGGAGAGGGAGGTGTCAGACAGGGTGCTAGCTCCTGCCGTCGCCGGTCATCACTGACAACAGATACTTGACAGTGGCAATGCCTACAGACCTGAGAGGGGTAGGTGGCACTTGCACAGCAAACTTGGCTGCCTTTGATGACTGCTGGGTGATAAGCAAGATTTTTCTTTGTTTAGCTGTATCTTGTGGGTCCCAGATGACTTTCCTGATCTTGGCCTTGGTCTCTACCAGACAGGATGATGCAACCCTTCTTGGGCAGGCTAGGAACTGCTCCAGGGTTAGGCACCCATGTTTCCTTAGGATTCACGGCACTAGGGCTCCATGCCCTGTCTGAAAAGAACATGTGCTCCCCTCCATCCACTGAATGAACTTATTCCTAGGGAAGACCCCACCCACTGTGCAGAGGTGGAATGTTCACTATAAAACTATCTGCCCCTGCCACTGAAGCCCAGGGCCACAGGTGACACCTGCAAACAGAGCTGCCATCAGCTTTCTGGAAGCTCATCCAGGGCAGCTCTCTGCTCCCACATACCAGCCCTTTCTGGTCCTCCACGGCAGTAAGCTGAGGACTGAGCAGGGGGTAGGTTCCTGAGTGAGTGGCCTAGGAGCCACCAGGGCTTGTTCCACTTCTGCACAGTAGGCTGGCTCTCCTGAAGCCCAGGCTGGTGCAATAGCCTGTAGATTTCGGGAGAAGCAGCCTTCTCTGTGCACGTTCTTGGGAGGCCATGGCCTCAGAATGGTCTTAAGGTTTTTCCATAGGGCCAGGGGCAGTCCTCAGTCTCCTGGGGATAGGGAAAGGCTTATTCTCCCCACTCCCTGGTTGTTTCAACTCAACACTACCTGAAAACCCCTCTCTGCATCCCGCCCTCTTGCTGCCTTCCATGGTTCCCATCCAACAAGGCAGCTGTGTTTTCAGAGGCAGACTCAGGCACTCTGCAGGGAGGCCTTCTTCCTGGCCTTGGCCTCTGCGGCCTCCAGTCCCCCTACTATGGACTCATAGCCTCCGTTTCTTGTCATTCAGCACTTTGTGGCCAATCCTGGCAAGGACTGATGCCAGGACAGCCAAATGCGCAGTGCTTAATTGGAGTGATCTTCCTGCCACCCTCCTCCCTGCCTCTTTCCCAAGGTTCCTACACAAGACGGGGCAGGAGACAGGGGAGCGGGAGGGGGCAAGAGGCAGGAATGCAGAAGCCAATCTGTATGGTAGGGACTGTGTGGATAGGTAGCATGAGGTTGACAGCTGGGCAGAGAGCATTTCAGTCCTTCTCCCATCACTCTAGCTTGGCACCAAGGGCTTCCCAACTCACCCCTCTCCTCCTCCCCACCTCCTCCCCATGCAGTTCCCAGAGGTGGACACAAGGTGGCGGTGTGAGGACAGGGAAGGGGAGAGGAGAGTACCGAGCCACCAGGAAGAGGACACAGCTGACAGCCAGATAGGCTAGAAGCATGAAGAGCCAGACGCCCGGAGAAAACGGATCCAGGAAGGAGAAATAGCCGGGTTTGCGTCCCTGGAAGTGGAGAGAAAAACAAGGTTCAGTGTACACATTCAGTTCAAACAGCATGGAAGGGCAGAGACTATGGAGAGGGTGGTCCGACCCCAGGATGCATTCCTTTGGGTTCTGGGTGACTGGCTTAAATGATGCTGGGGACGAAGGTGTCGCAGGGGCTGCTTCAAAACTCTTGTTTCATCTCAACAGATGAAAGAGAACAACGGCAAGGACCAAAGCACATCCTAGGATGAAGAAGGCTGTGACTGGGATAGTGGACGACCCTCAGCGTCCATGATGTGCTGTGCCGTGTCCCCTGGGGGCGGCATGGATGGGCTCAGGGAGCATCTTTGAGCTGCTGGTGTCTGCAGTGCTGGAGTGTGGCCACAGCACCATCTCTGACATGCTCATCTTTCTCTCACAAGGGTGCTAATACAACAGGCATCTTTGGGTTTTGCCTGTGGGTGATCTCTTACACAGTGATACCTTCCCATTGTCAACCTCTGAACAATTCTGGGAGGCACAAATTATTTCTGTTTTACTAGTGAAGAAACCAAAGCTGAGGGCAGTGCCCAAGATGACACAGCTTGTAAGTGAAAGAACCGGGACCCAAACCCATGTTTTCTGACTCAAAGCCCAGGGCTCATTCTATTGAAAAATATGATTTGTCCCCAGCCCAGGGATGTGTTTGGTCAGAGTCCTGCGAACCAGAAGATGGAGCCAGGAACGGAAACTGGGGTGCCAAGCTTATCCCCACACCCCTGCGTTTTCATAGGAAAGCAAAATGGAATGAGAAGGATCGAGTTAAGCCCTCTGCTCCAAGTCATTAGCCATGTGGACTCAGGCAAGTCCCTACCTCTCTGGCCCTGATGGAGCTGAACTAGATCAGAGGTGACACACTGGTCACCTATGGACACATACAGCCCACAGACCTGCTTTGTTTACCCTGCAGTGTTTACCCATTTTGTATTAGTCGTCAGCATGACATGATTAGGAAACTTCACAGACAAATCTAGAGGTGATCTGGCAACACTCGGTCCAAGTCCCCAGCTGACTGGAGCTGAGTGATGGCCGCCCACTGTAGACAGGGCATGCCCTCCCACTCCCTGTTGCTACCTTGTCTTGTTTCAGGGTTGCTTCTTTCATTTACTCTGAAGCCACTGAACTAGATGCTTCCTAAGGACCATTCTAAATGGAAAGTGCTATGATTTTATGATCCCAGGAGCCTAGGAAGTCCACGGAGAGGACTGAAAGTCAATATTAAGCTCAGGGGTTCCATGAACAGGGGTTCTATGCTTTCAGGCTCAAGAGCATGTACATCAATCAAGGCACAACTTACTGTCAACATCAAGTATGTCACTTTTACACTGGGGTTCCCAGAAACACAAAAGGGAACTACCTATGCTAATATGAGCTAAACCCAACCAGCTCTGTGAGCTTTCATTATCCATAGGAAGCTAGAAGATGCCAAGAAACTCCGAGTAACAATAGCTGTTTCCACGGCCGCATCTGAGGCAGGTGGGAGGGAGGCAGTTCTGCATGGTCCTGTTATTCACATAGCTCCAATCACAGTTTCCGTCTTCTGGAAGCCTTTCCATTCCTTCTCGGGAAGCCAGTAGGCACACTGCTAAACCACCTGGGCACAGCTTTATTTTTCTCTTTGGAACAACAGCCCGGAGGGTGCACAGAGAGGATGTAAGTAGCTCATCCTCTGCCAGAGGGGCTGCTCTTCTTGAGCTTTGTGGCCTTGTGGCAGTGTGACAGTGACCTCTCGGGTAGTCTATCTAAAACTGGTTTTCTTTCACAGTGTGACTTAGAGCACAGAACTGCCCTTTGATACCAATTGCAAGTTCTCTGACTCCTGGTCCATCCATGCTTGGTCTATGCAGAACACTCTGGCATCGTTACCGGGAAATGAAACAATCTGAAGGACAAAGCCTAGGCACTTGGGGAACAGGAGAATGACAGGGAGAAGACCATTTGAGCGCGTCTGGTCCCATCATTACGTGAATCCTCTAACAGGAGGCAAAAGACTCCAGAACAGTGGAGTCCAAGTCCCCAGTCAGTCATTCCTGCATCTATTATGGGTTGACCATGTGTCTTCATCATCCCAATAGCCAGTGGAAGACACAGTGAGGGCAGAACCCATACACAGAGTCCAGAGGGGGTAAAGGAGTCAATCATGCCTACACACCTACTGCTGCAGAATTGCTAGCTTGGTCCACTCGGACCCCAGAGTTTCTCTGGGCAAATGTGCATGAATTCTATGTGTCCTGTCACTCACGACTGCTTCACTCTGTGTCTCTCAACTGAGAGATATCCAGGGGGAAAAAATATTTTATTGTTGCCTTCTGAATCTGAAACCCCATTAGATGCTCAATGGCAGAAATCTATACCTGATTATATCACAACAAGTGAAATTGAGGAAAATGACAGCACTATTTAAAGTTGCCATATTTGGTTATGGGTGATAAGGAATGATGCATAGCCGTGGGAAAAATTCCTAGAGACTGAAGTTATAAAACACAGAACATCACACAAACAAAAACCAAGACATAAACACAGATCCCCTAGAAACATATCAGTCACTTTGGCAAGGTAACATCTGATTCTACTCGTGATTGACTGACGCCAACCAGAAGAGCAAGGGGAATGGGCAGTCATTTGAGATTTGGGGCTTGGCTTATACAGCCTTGGCTTAGGCTAAACCCATGCTGTTTGTATGATGCCAAAGAGAAGCATGTTTCCTTGCAAGATTCTGAATGCCTACCTTTTTCTTTTCCTAGGTGATGCTTTAGTTTGCTTCCTTTCCAAAAGACATTTGAGTCACTGGCACTTGGGGCAAATCAGGTGTCATATGCCATAGGCATTTCTTCCAAATAATTGATTTTCCTTAACCCAAAGGATGTATGATGGTGATACTTTTCCTCTGAACAACTCAAAGTGCTTCACTCTGCTCTCTTGATTTCAATACCCAATTTTCCATACTGACAGATGGAAGAACTGAGACCCAGGGAGGTTAAATGTCTCACTCAAATCATTGGTGATGGCTTCAATTTCTCTGGCGCTCATTCGTCAAACTGCGCCATAGGCATGCCATGCTCGCCCTCATTCAAACAGCAGCTGCACTGCATCTTCCTCTCCTTCTAATCTTTGCAACTTGCTCCAATAAACTCCCTAATTCATCCCATGCCTTCTCCTCAATGGCAGCAGACTCCCAATCTACACACCCCCTTAAAGTACTCTTAAACATTATTTCTTTATATCCATAACCATTTATTGTGACTCTGTAGTATTTATAGGTATTTGTATTGATTTATATATGTCTCTGTTGACTGCAACTTGGGCCAGTTCCTTCTGGTGAATACAACCACTTTTGAAGTAGACAAGTGGTTATATGCAGTCTATGCCCCAAAATGTTGAGGACAGGCTAAGTCCTGCCAACAGAACTGAAGATTAAGTGGCAGCTTTGTTAGAACTAGTTCCCTTGACTTTTGACTGTTTCAGACTGACCCATATCAGAGTCAGCATCCTTGATGCTCTTTGATAGTGAGAGAGATGCAAAGGCCTGGTCATCAGCTCACCACAATCTTGGTGTGTGGAGGTCCTTTAAATGAAAGTGGGGGGTGGGGATCACCCATGGAGCTATGAAGTGGCATTAAACTTCCGTTACGTGTCAAACATTCTTCTTATCCTTAAAGAAAAAAATCTGTTAATTTGCCAGTACTTCACTCTATGTGTACTGGAAGAAATGGCATTATAGTAAGAATATAATTGCTTTCCCAGAGTTTGGAGTCAGATACATGAGGACACCAGGGCTGGACAACGAAGGACAGGTAGTGAATTAAAACCTAGACTGGAGAACCAGACTGACCAGGATTATATCCTGGCTCTACTGCTTACAAGTCACATGACCCTGGGCAAGTTACTTAACCTCTAGGTCTTTGTTTCCTCTTTTGTAACACGGGGATAATAATAAAAATCTACCTTATGAGGTTGTTTCAAGAACTAAATGAGTTAACACATAGTAAGGACTAATGTGTGTTTACTCCCCTTCTGTCTAATGGTGGCATTGAGTGAAGGGGGAAGGGAGATGGTGTGTGACAAAACAGAGAACTTTCTTTTATATTATACTGATGTCTTCCTCAATGAACAAGAGATACTATTTTCTTGTGTCCTACGGTGACACACATTAAAGATGCTTTGAGGGGGAGAAAGTTATCTGGCTATGGCTACTTCCCATAATGCCTGGAGTTTCTACAGGTTGTAATATACTAATCATGAGGGGTCCCCCCTCCCAGGGCTCTCCAGGGAAGCAATTAGTGAAATGTCAGGCTTTTTTCTGGAAGGGTGGGTCTTAAAAGTCAGTAATTCCAACCTTTAGCACTCGACTCCACCTCAGCCTTCCCAAAGAAGTCGCTGACAGAGTGGACCAGACATGGAGCAGGTTCTCCTGGATCTGTGTTAGGGCCATGCAGCCTAGATACCAGTTCCTTACACACAAATGAGTGATGTCAACTCTCTTCCTTCCCTGAACTCCATCCCTTCCCCCCACCCCCCCCCCCCCCCCCCCCCCAACCATAGCCAATGACAAAGGGTTGTCAAGTTCTCCATGTGCTTTGGACAGTCTTTAGAACTGAATGGCGATGTACAGAAAGGTTTCTTGTTACATAGTCAATTCCCAGAAGTGGTCAATGGCCAACAAAACATTCTCTAGGCCTGAAGAGGTAAGAGAAAACTCTCTCCACGACTCCTTCTGAGATAGGTGGAAGGAGATAATTTTTTCCTATCCCATCTTAGGAACCCATGGAGTGTCTCCCTGTAATGGATTGTCTTGCAGTTATTCTGATTTAGCATGCACTTGCCACCTCTGACTCCAAGTGGGGGCGGGGGGGGGGACGAAAAAGCAAGCAATTTGTTCCTCTCCACAGAAAACCCCCAAGTGGCTTTGTTGCCCATATAACTAATAAGCTAGCACATCTATTTTCATTTTGCTGGTTGGAAATCTGTAAGGAGACCTA